ACTTGTCCATCAAAAACAATTTAGCATTAAAAATATATCCCATATGTACTTATTATGAGGTCATAATGGAGATCAAATGGTAACACCAATTTACGTTTTACTTTTTAGTTAGCCAATGTAGCCGTCGTATACATGTGGAGTAGATACATGTTATTACAGTAGTGTGTGAAAATGAATACGATATTGAAATAGCGAACGTGTTAATTGGGCGAGATATTTCAAAACTGTATGCACTATAAGGTGTTGAATAACTTTAGTTGACCACAAAATATAGTTTTACAAGTGCATATATCTTTCATATTATTTTATCTTTAAATATCCACATCGAAAATCAATCAACTGACACTTCAAGACATACTAATCACTTCATGAGAATAAAATGTATTTGGATTATTTTCTTTGAAACATGAATGCTTTTGAGAGGCGATATAAGTAACTATACGCCTGTGTTGACAATAAGTGAAACGGGGATCAGTAGAAGAACGAGACTACAGATGGTGCCAAGGAATGGTTAAACACGACAGAAGTATACATGTCTATATTATTAAATAGTGCGTGTACACATCGATATGATACCCTCTGATTTCTTGTCACAGAGAGTCACAGCAGCAACTCACCCTCAACAATGCTAACAATAATACAATGTCTTAGATATCCAGGATCACAGTCCAAAAGACACATATGCCTTGTTTGTACTGCCGTAAGCAATATAAAATAGTGTACCATTCGATCGTATATTATTACGGTATTGTATATATATATGTCTTTCAAATTCCACATGACATCTCGATATGTGAATTTACGTGCATTGTAATGAGTTACTGGGGATTTCAATCTCCAGATGAGTGCCCGTTCGAGAAGCTGGAGGGTCGACAGATCACGGCGACGCACGTCAACGTGTCGAGCCAGGACGTGGCCTCCTGTCAACAACTGTGTCGGACTACAGACGCAGGAGACACGGAGTGTGCCGCGTGTGACTACACGCCCAGTCTCAGTCTCTGCAGGATGGCCATGAGGAGCACCCTGTATATAGGAGAAGAACAACCGGCGACATCAGCGTCAGCATCTTCCACTGTCCACATCAAGAGATGCTTCATGGGTAACGTACAGCATACATAATGTCTGGGTGAATATCTAATACCAGGGCCCACAAAGCGATGTTAGTGCTCCGATTGTCGTAAGTGTCTGTATGTAGGGATTTAGCATGGAGACTAGATATGTTTTTCAGCTGCAGACACAAAGAAGATATTTCTTACTTTAAGCTATGAGCCTAAAATTTTCTTAAAACAAAAACACCTTGTGTAATTTTTGTGACAGAGAATTTGTTTTTGTTTCCAACAGTCTAAGGAATAATTATTGTTTTCGAGCATTTTCTGGGACAATATATTTTTTTGAAAAAATCCCAGACAACAAAGATAATTTTGTCCAAAAGGGCCAGGAAACTTACATCACTGAGAAGGATATAAGACTTGAGTTACGCGTAAATATAAAATTCTTTATGAAAATCGAAGGCTCCAATCGTTCTTTTAGTTGTGTCACTCTATACATGCAGACAGTATGGGGCGTACATCTGTGGGATCATGATCAATACGTCTTCAATTAGTATCAACTTACCACTCACTGTTGATTAGGTATTTTTTTCCCTCTTATGTTTTGCATTGTCATCAAAAGATGTTATCATTGTATGGCAAGACACTAAGTGCTCTGGATGCAAGGAGCTGATATGTAGAGCATAATTATAGCCAATCAGTACAATATTGACTACAGCAGGTTTTGGTTTTTAGATACTTACTTACGACACAAGCACACTATTCGTTTTATCTTTCATAATGCCTAAGCAAGTTAGACTTAATTTCGTCTGTTTGAGCCTAAGATGAAAGAAAACTACCCCTCCTACTACTGCTGCATCAAAAGCTGTAAATGTGGGATAACTCTTCTTCAGTGATATCGACCGGTGTACATGCGATAGATTACATGTGTTGTGATTTCTTGGTGTTGTACAATTTTGCATTGCACTGACGCGCAAGCCCCAGTCTAGAGAAACATGAAAATACTCACCACCTCCAAGAGCAATGTATTCACAAAATGTGTACATACAATATAGTGCTATTTACATTTAAGATCCGTGTCTTCAGCAACCCATGATTACAATAAAAGACGAGTATGGTTGTGAGAGGCGACTAACGGCTCTCGCTGACTTGGTTGATGCGCGTCATGCATCGTATCCCAATTGCGTTGATCGATACTCATGATGTCAATCACTGGATTTTCTGGTCCAGACTCGAATATTTACAGACCGCCGTTATACAGCTGGAATATTGCTGGGTGCGGCGTTAAACAACAAAGCAACAACAACATTTAAGATCATCAAAACAAATCTCCACATTTGAACTGTGGTGTACACGTACAATAGCTGTTAAAACTGTCCATGTTCGTGTGCGATGACACTGATAATGACATTGTGCATGTGAGATAACGTTAGTAATGTCATTTGACATGCAAGATGACGTCAATAATGCCATTGTACATGCGAGGTGACGTAAATACTTTTTTGGTACATGTAAGATGACGTTGATCATGTCATTGTACATTTACATGTCCTCTTCATCCCAAAATGTTTCGAACATGTACAGTGAATTAGCTTCAATATAATCTTACTTGAAAAGCGTATACCAATACGAATGACGACACTGAATCACCTCAATGAAACGTGTTGGCGGGCTTGTGGTTTGATGACACAATATTAGATGACGTCGGCCTGCAAATAATAGTCGAGACAATACAATCCTGTGAGTGGCTTTATGAGCAACAATCCACGACATCGGGGTACGTTGACAAGCTATCAACCAATCTACCGAGTCTGACCATCCGATTCATGAAGTCGGCTCTTACGACCATTATTCTGGAAAGTTCTGGGACCAGAAGCATGACCATTTTGATATTACCCAATCAGATGACAGTTGACCTCAAACATTACCAATGCAGTACAACTGTGAAACAGAAATACCTATGCCTATATGTACTTCAATAGGAAAGTTATAAATGCTTGCGGTTTAATTACCGCGATCGTTTCGGGGTGTCTTATTCAACCGTGTGAACATGCGAGAACACTGCTTGTTGGTAAGGTTGTATTACACATATTTAGTCTCTTAACCACACTACCAATACCTACTTTGCGAAACTATTTTCAAGGCATTTCATGAGTGAATGATCTTCAAAATGACATTGACATTCGGCACAATCATGATATATGATTGATGTTGATTTAGGAACTTAAAGTTCATCTTGCCTAATTGAATAAATGTATCCCAAATTGTCTCAAAGTTGAACTATATTCCATTATTTAACCTCTAGTGAACTTTACCTTGTATTGAGCGATCGAAACCCCGCATTAAGATCATGGACACAGCTTTTTTATGCCCATCTCGCGCCGATTAACCTTGATCTTTAATGTCACCCTATCATATACGAGAACGTTACAAATACGAATTCTCCATATCACAATGCCAAATACTTTCTGAATGAAACTTTTTACAAGTCATTTCATAAGTGGATGCCCTTCAAAGTTGAGTTAATTATTGACAGTATCATAAATGAATGGGGAATAGTTCGTATTTGCATGAATTAATCTGAAATATCCGAAACTGTGAACCAGGAAGCCTAGTTTATAATAAGTGACCTTAACGTCAATGTCATCCGATAATATTTCAACAAAATCCCCAAGTTGATGGGAGGTATGCCAGTAAGACGCGCGATGGAGAAAACCAATTGCGCCGATGGCGGAGCTGAAATTGGAGCATACACATATTAGGAAGGATGGGTAGACTTGCTTTCAACGACTGTGCCGTGAGTCACAATCGAAACATATTTTGTGGCAGTTTTAGAAAGTGTTTGTTTATGAATGAACATGTTTGCACGATCAGACCAATGGATCTAAACACTTCCGATACAATTCATACGAAGACCATGTGTCTGACTTCTGATACTTTGTGCAACAAAAATTTTCTCCGGTTGATCCCAAGTGTAAAACGCAGCGTGTACATCACAGGTATCTGTTCTTATTCTAGGTCTTCAGCAACCCATGCTTGCCGTAAAAGGCGACTATGCTTGTCGTAAAAGGCGACTAACGGGATCGGGTGGTCAGGCTCGCTGACTTGGTAGATGCATGTCATCGATCCCAATTGCGTGGATCGATGCTCATGATATTAATCACTGGATTGTCTGGTCCGCAGTCATATAGCTGGAATATTGCTGAGTGCGCCGTTAAACAACAAACCAAACCAAACCAAATCTTATTCTAAGGGTGACCTTTTCGATTTGTTTGAAGCCGTCAATTGACACAATATTCGGGCAGATTCAAGTTCGTTGATTTTCACTTTCCAGATAAGTGCGATGCAGGTAATGTGAATTTCTGTAGCGATCACACTGATTATCCTTTTCCAAAAAAGTAAGAACAGGATGTCCACTCCACATATACTTCCAACAAATCGATGCGGGCGATGTGTATAGGCCCGAAATTCAGAGAGCAGCGCTGTTTGTCTGAATTGCAGCTGTTCCGCCAACTAATTACTATGCGCTTGATTTACCATTAATTGGAAAAAATCATAAATATAGGGGTTGATCGTTGCTAATGTCATTTATGCACACATAATAACAGGAACACTATATTTTTGTGTATACATAAAAACGTTAACAATACCCGTATTTGAGTTTATGTCAATATTCGATTAGCAATTGCCCTCGGTTAGGTCTGTTAAATTATTATTTATTTGTATTTAAATTCATTTTTAGCATTGGTAATACATAAAACGATACACTCGTCGTCGAAAGAAACCACTTTTTACGTAACATCTGAACTTTCTATGGTACCATAGAAAGTCAACTTGTTTTATGAAAATAACATCTAACGAGAACGAGTATAGTAGTCTCTGTGTATGTTAGGTAACTCGAATACAACAATGGGTAATGTCATTTATTGGAAAGAACTGGAACAGAAGATTTCATTGTTTTTCAGCCCACAAAAACTCGACTCGGATTAGTGTCACAGCTAACCGCAACTCAAAAGCTAATGACAGGTGTAAGTTCACGACTACAGCTTCATCGTCCACTCCTGGAATAACAACTGTTACTACTGCAACCACTATTACTACTACGCCATCCACTTCAGTAACCAATATCACTACTTCAACAACGGCAACACCTACATCATCAGCAGCTGCGACATTGACCAGCGGCACAACTACAACCATAGGTACAATTACGCCATCCACTGCATTAACCAATTCCACTACTTCAAGAACAGCCACAGCTACTTCATCCGCTGCTGAGACATTGACCATTGGCACAACTACAACCATAGGTACAACTACGCCATCCACTGCATTAACCAATTCCACTACTTCAAGAACAGCCACAGCTACTTCATCCGCTGCTGAGACATTGACCATTGGCACAACTACAACCATAGGTACAACTACGCCATCCACTGCATTAACCAATTCCACTACTTCAAGAACAGCCACAGCTACTTCATCCGCTGCTGAGACATTGACCATTGGCACAACTACAACCATAGGTACAATTACGCCATCCACTGCATTAACCAATTCCACTACTTCAAGAACAGCCACAGCTACTTCATCCGCTGCTGAGACATTGACCATTGGCACAACTACAACCATAGGTACAACTACGCCATCCACTGCATTAACCAATTCCACTACTTCAAGAACAGCCACAGCTACTTCATCCGCTGCTGAGACATTGACCATTGGCACAACTACAACCATAGGTACAACTACGCCATCCACTGCATTAACCAATTCCACTACTTCAAGAACAGCCACAGCTACTTCATCCGCTGCTGAGACATTGACCATTGGCACAACTACAACCATAGGTACAACTACGCCATCCACTGCATTAACCAATTCCACTACTTCAAGAACAGTCACAGCTACTTCATCCGCTGCTGCGACCGTGACGATCGACAATACAACCTCAACGACTGATTCCATCCTTACGACTACAATTCCACAACAAAAAGATGACGTAACCACTGCTGTTTTACCTACAACAACCGTGACTCATTCGTTCACTTCAACCACAACAACTACGACCACAACAACGCATGGGAAATCGTCGACACTACCCACGTCTGTTACTGCAACGTTGACAAGGAGATTTACAGGAACCGTCAAGTCAGGAACCACACGAAGCGCACCAACTGCCGCTACAGACCATAACAAGCCACTCCTTCAAGGACAAAAGCCATGCAACACCACTAGAAGTAAGGTTTGGTATTCTGGGGAGTTCCTAGAATATAATAATGGTTTTACAACATAAAAAAATGTCCTCTGGAAACATTGAATGTACAGAATTGTATTGTGTAGGGCTTAATTTATTGTGCCATCAATGATGATTTGTGTAGGCTTTGCGTCATTTGGTCTGTTCTGCCATCTTGCGATGGTCCTTTAACAACTGTCATAACTGAGTTCTTGTAATCGCAAGATTATATCGCACTAATTTATTTGTAATTGTGTTCATTCAATAACATCAAAATATATGTGTCACTGAATGAGCTTTTCATTTCTTCTCCTTACATCCAGGAATTTGCGTTTGTGGAGCAAAGAAGATAGATGGGGAAAAACGATCATCTGGTCTTCTCCTTGAGAAAAAGATACTATCTTCCTATCGCAGATCCAAGACATCCGCCATAGATGAACGACCTTCTGCTGTCAGTATCGGGGCGTCGGGTGTGGGTGTCCTGATTATTGTGGCTGTTCTAATTATTCTAATTGATGTAGATAAATATAGTGGATCGCTGCTAAATATATGCAGGAGGAAAGGATCAACGAGTGTAATCCATAACAAATGACATAAGGTCAACGGTAATATTTCTGATTAATTAGCTACAAGATTAATAGGATGCGCCAACATGACACATTTATATTAGATGTTTATTCTAAATGACATTAAAGTTTATTAAATCAATAATGCCAGTTGTATTTCACACATGTTACCCACATGCATGATCACTATCTTCGATAAATGTGTGTTGTTACATATTCTAACCTGAGGTGCAATATTACGATTCAAAAAATGCAAATTTGTTTTTGTTCGTTGAGCTATTACAGTGCATGTATGTACCACAGAATGTATACTCACATAGCGTTGCTAGTACCATCATGTTAAATTATTTATTTTTGGCAAATGATCTTCTATTCTAGAGAGTTGCAATCAACATGCATATGATTTTGTACTATAAAAGTTCGTGACAAAAACGCACTTAGTCTAACATATTTAGGCATATCAGTTCGTCTAAACAATTCCCGTTACTCGTTTATAGAGAAAAGTACACACTGCATACAGCAATGTGAACTTTTAAAAACCACAGTTATCTGCAAACCTTCTATCTACTTTGAGAGGTATATGTATATCGGCATACTAAATTGTTTATCAAAATGTCCCACAAACATGATGGTGTTTCATAAGGAAAGGTGGCAGGTGAACTGATCTCACTTAGACAATCAACAGCTATAGGTCTCTAACAGTGAACACGGTTAACCTCATGAGCCACCAGGTTGATGGTAGATAAGTAGTTTTCACTATATGAAAGTATTAAATTATTTAGAAAATATTTTTAATTTGGAGTGATTAACAATAATTGGCATTGTGGTCAGTAAAGTGAGTGATCAGAAATCCCTGACATGATCGGAACATATAAATATGGTCCTAACGTCTCTCCCTCATTGCAAAATGGAAAACGTGCAGGTAAACGTCGAAATGCACCCCTTTACAAACTTATGCGACGTTATATATAAATGTACACTTGATGGTTGACCTCGAGTCATGTTTATATTTTTGTTCACTTTCCTGTTAGTAATTTTTAAGATTTTATTAATCCCAATTATCGTTTGTCAGTTTGTTCAGAGAATAAAATAATGTTAGTGTTGACATATTTTCAGATTATGTTGTATATATTCATAGAACTATTTTTCGTTGCGTAACTGAGCATGAGTGGGGAAACGTATGTGACCGAGAGCCGGCAAATACCGACAAAATAACAGTGTTGCAATGTTCTTCTGCGAAACCAGAGAACTTAAGCAAACAATGTTACGCCATAATTCGGCGAGACCATAAACTACAAAATCGCCAGTTTGGTTTTAGAGGTGGTAGTGCTGAACTCACTCACTCACTGTCATTTCGTAAAATAAGGTGCAACCATCCCGCTTGAATGAAAGCTAGGAGGTTCACACAGTTTAAGCAGCACTTTCAAATCGTTCACACTTCATTGAACCCATCCAAACTGACGTTCAATTGTGACGACCGTATATTAACATTAAACAGACAAATCCAAGTCACTTTAATTGGATCTGCATGTGTATACTGTGGCCAAAGCCAATAACACATTAGTCAGAGTCAAATACATAAATACAATTATGAATGTGTCTTATGACGTATTCAATTCGTGGGCGACCTCCGAAGGAACTATTTTTTTAAAATAGAAGATGATGAATAGTAGTTTACAAACTCAGAAACATGTTTGAAGGAGAAAGCATAATAAAGGAAAATAATGAGGGGGAAGGACATTGAGTGCACCTTACTTTAATATTGCCCTAACTATGTGCTCCTACGTTGTTATTGGTATCTACATCAACAGACCATTTTCATGATACTATGTACGGATCCTAGCAATCGATCCGGTCGGTGCTGACATTTACCTGTGTGGCATGTTTGTGAAAGAAGTAGCCGATGCTTACGGTCAATATTCTGCAACTTTTGCTTTTGTTTAAAAGGGATGGACATTCAAAGGAAGAGAAGTGCAGCTGCAGAGACTAGATGTAATTAATGTCCTATAACTACACAATAAAACCAAAGTAAGAAAATGCGTGCGAAGATTTCCATGGCGTCAACTCATTGTGTATTGACATAAAACGGTGTACATCTATTTCAATCACATAAAGAAAACACTGACAAACATATTACAGATAACATGTACGTAAGCAACCGTCGACAGACCTGCAGGAATTTCTTAGTCACTACATTACTGTCCTGTGCAATATATTTATGAAACAATGGCAATTCATAAAAAATAATTAAATGTTCTAACATAAAAGTATTCAAATGTTGTTATTCGTTGATTTTCTACAGTAAAAAGGAATGAAAACAACGGGGTGTGAGAAAGAATCTTTAAAATGTATTTCAGTATGCGAATTGAAACTGTTTGTAGAGGTGTTACCACTTCGATGGTTTAGTGGCATGGTTAAGGGATGAAATCGATTCTGAGATGTGAGTGAGTGAGTGACGCCACATCGGCAATACTTCAGCCATATCGTGACGAGATAAATATTGACAACAAATAAATTTCGACAAATAAAGAATTGAATTGACTAAATAAATACCTGTCCCCGAAGGACAGTACAATAATTAGACTAATAATCACAAATTTTAGTTAAAATTAGATTGGGAGTATGTAAAAGAATAAACTATCATTCAACTACACAATATAAAAAACGGGCTAAAACAATCGCCAGCAACTAAAGTTAGGCCACCATACTAGGGACCGTGGGGACTTAGTATACCTCTGCTACCTGCACGGTTCCCTGGCAGAATTTACATAAAAGCGACAAAACCCTTTCCATATTCAATAGAAATCTCACCCGTGAAGATCCGGGGGTAGAATAGGTCTTCAGCAACCCATGCTTGCCGTAAAAAGGCAACTTTGCTTGTCGTAATAGGCGACTAACAGGATCGGGTTGCCAGGCTCGCTGACTTGGTTGAACCATGTCATCGATCACAATTGCGTGGATCGATGTCCATGATATTAATCACTGGATTGTCTGGTCCAGATGCGATTATTTACAGGCCGCCGTCATATAGCTGGAATATTGCTGAGTGTGGCGTAAAACAACAAACCAACCAACCAACTTAAAGCTTAAGTTAAACTTCTCGGCCATATTACCATGTGTTGACTTTGCCAATCCAAGCAGAAATTCCGGTTCATCCACCGGTTAAAACAAGTTACGGGTGGATCACTTACCACAGAAATATTGTGAATACCCGAACAAGCAAAAAATTAAGATTAGTGTTAAGTATAACATGGGTGTGAATAACATCCTGACTCACAATGATTGAAGGTCCTCCAGGAGGAGAAAAATAAAGATATGCATTGAACTGACGTAAGTAAAAATTAGCTGTGTGCTTTTGATGGGTTTCTTAAAACTCCTTTAAGATGGTATGATGAACAAGGGATATAGTTCTATGGATATACCACTTCTTTATTACAATCACTCGGTGTTTCGGTGTTGATACTAACTGCGTTAACAAGCAAGTGATGAACAGAAATGTGAAGGATGGAGGTTATATAAACTATAAAGCTTGATTGATAGGATTAACAAGGCATGATGGGTAAAACAATACATTTGGTCATACTTGTCATTGGTCATTGAATTACTGTTAGTTGCTAAAGCTGTAGACGTCAGTATAATACAGTAATTGATATGGACAAGTTGATTGGACGCCAGTATCAGAATAGAGATTAAGATAGATAATATATTTTATATATACTAGTATGTATACTCTGGGGTGGTACAACCACTCTATATATACGATAATATACAATACTTCTTCTTACACTGGTTTCCAATCTTGTCCATATTTTTTGTAACCAACTGTAATTCAATGGCCAATTACAAGTATGATCTAACAAATAACATCTTCAATCTGTTTCACAGTCTGAGTGAGTGAGTGACCGCCCCTTCACAGTCTGAAACTGAACTACCGTGGCGGTAACCTTTTCCGATCCTATTACTACTATGGCGTCTTCTCCTTCACCACAAGATTCAAACATACGACCACACAAATGCAGTGGCAACGAGCATAAGAAAAGCTACACATTCTTCTGTCATCCTCCAGCCTCCGACCCCCATCACCCATCACTCTACCCTTATTATTACCAGTTCAAAGTGATGCATTCGTAAAACACACGTTACTTGACTGTGTGTTCATTATTAACGTGCAGGCCATACGTTTTTTTCATGGATCTCAATTGCCATTTTGGGACTTGTTCAATTTTTCTTGAAGCGAACGGCCACGCCTATAAAGGATGTGTATGGTGACTCGGGGAGCTTTACACGTGACTATTGTCTATTGTCAATCACTAGATTTTCTTGTCCAGACTCGATTATTTGTATGAAAACATTAATTCTATAGTGTAACTCCGCATAACATCAATGTTTCGATTTCCGAGGCCTTGTGGGACTCAATAATCTATCTTTCATATTCTTATAACACATGCGGGTCCAGGTCATTGTGCTCGACAACTTTCAGGCTCTTCTCTTCAACTGATTCAGAGCAGAAATCAAAAGAACAGACAGACGAGGGGCAACGTGTGTGTTATTGCTCACATGGACCTGCAGTCTAGGTGAGCGAAACTAATAAATTTTAACGTTGATTAACAATGATGTTAAAGTAAAGAAAAAAGTGAGTGAGTGAGTTGGCTTTAACGCCGCTTTGAACAGTATTCCAGTGCCAGTATTCACAACGTGTCAATGTGATATGGGAATATGAGTAAAAAACGTATGATGTGAGTAAAAGGAATAATATGTTAAATATTTGAAAGTCCCAGTTCACATAGACAAACAAGAGGCCATAGGGCCTGTATCGCTCACCTGGATATGTACGCAATCATGACAAAGTTTATATTTGCATTGTACATGTATATAATACTGCAAATATTTCGTAATTTTGACTCTGTTAGCATTTAAAATGGGTAGATGGCAGATCTGACAGCATGAACGTGTACTTCTCAAGATACAAATGTAACATTGAGAACTTAACCGCTTCCATGTTATGATCAAGAACATAAATTTCCAGAGGCAAGGCTTGACCCCAGGGCGAATCCTGTTGGTATGAATGTATTCTTCTCTTCATAACAAACAAATGTATACAATGTATCTGTTTATTATAGGGTGGGAATAATATCGGTTTGCATGTTATGGTCAAGGTTCTAACTCCTTTGGCAGTGCCGGGCAGATGAACAGAAGGGCCAGTCCTGGTAGCATATGTGTATTTGTCTTGTCACATAAGCAATTACATGGATACATGTATATGGTAATAGGGTGGGGATCTCAACTGCTTCCAAGTTTTCACCCAAGAACGTAATCCCTAGGGGTGTGGCAAGACCCCAGACTCAATTCTAATATCATGATTGTGTTTGTCTCTTTATGCCCAGCAATTATATGTATGGTTATATAGCCAAATTACCCCAATTTCGCCCCGTCCTTCAGCCCCTTGGGGGGTCAGCCCAACCATTTGTACAATTTTGAATCCCCACCACCTAGTGATGTTTCCAGTCAAATTTCGTTCATTTCCAATTAGTGGTTTAGAAGAAGTCGTTTGAAACATTGTTGACGTACGGACGACGGACGGACGCCACGGAATGCATAAGCTCACCTTGGTCCTTCGGACCGGGTGAGCTAATAACATTATATTTCTGAAAAAGTGATAAGAGGTATAGAACACTTGATGCATAATTAACCAGGTTGTAAGAAATTGAGGAGCGATTTATTAATATGCAAGTGCTCCGAAGAAAACCGTTATATGTTGAGTCAAGTACAAGTTGTATGTTCAAACTTCACGATACTGTTAAAGCAATTTTCTACACTGCAAAGTATGTTCACAAACTTATTTCATGACGTATTGAACACAATGATTTCGGTGCAACACATATACTAATCCAAGTACATATAAAAGTTATGTATACAACCACCGGAAGAAGAGAAAACGTCCAATGTAAATTAACTCCGTACAGCCCCAATTTGTTAACGTAATGAAAACACATATCCTTAAAAGCTACCTCATACAAGTAATAGCTGACGCGAGAACCAATGTAAAGTTTAACGTAATTTCACATTATTGTCATACAGTGTCATGGTTATGATCTGCCACATCAATCTGAGACTGATGGTCGTCACAAGCAGCGACCGCAGCTGATGCTGGCATAAAGGGTAGCTTTGAACACCCAGGTAGATATTGATACAGTCGTCCTAACCAAAACCATCCGTATATTGAGTTTGAAGGTAAACGTTTCTCGACGCTCCTGTTTGTACTGGCCAAAGAATCAGGTTCGTTAGATATCATATTCTGCCAAGCGTCAATGCCTCGGTCTTTCCGTGAACCTTCAAAACATAAAAAGAGGTTATGAAATGAATGCAATAATGACATACGTGTGTCAACATACATTTGTGGTATGTCTTACTTAAAATTGCTTACCTTTGGTTGTATTATCCAAAAACATAGCAATGCCGCCACCAAGAAGCATACTGTTTCCAAGTATGACTCGAAGAACACTATCTACTTCTCCGAGGCCTGGAAAAGAGCAAATAATGTAAACACAATTATAATTATCTGGTATTAAAAAGAATATAAGAAGTCATCATTTCCAATGAACATGGATTCGAACCCCATGAGGATTCTGGGTAGAACTGGTCCCAAGAAGTAGCCTATGCTTCTCTGAAGGGACTCCTTAATGGACTTGCTGGCCATGCTCGGAGTCTTGCTTGATTGCATGTCATCGTATCGATGCTCATGAAATCAATCACTGAATTCTCTGGCCCAAACAATTATGTACCGATCGCCGTCATGTAGCTGGGATATTGCTGAGTGCGGCGTGAAACAAGAAGCAAACATAGACAAAAGACAAGTTGAAACTTCAAGCTTCTTCATTCACAACATGTCCATTGTCTCGACTGTACAGAGGACTTCCAAAGGCCAGACTATAATGGCCTGACTGAGGTGTTTGACAAAGAACATGCAACCAAATCTGAGTCAACAAACCTGTTTTGAAGTCAGCAGGGTATCTTTCTAACCAGCGTGGTACAGCGATGCCAAAAGAGATGGCAAGACCAATAATCAAGAGGTTCCTGGAGGAGTTGAGATTGACGTATTGCAGTGTTGACAGACCAAGAGAAACCAACATGCCAAATGTAACTATCATAACCCCCGCTAGAGCCGGGTCCGGTATTGTGGCGATTGCTGCTCCAGCCTTCCCCACAACCGAGAGTAGAACCAACAGGACACCGGTAGCATACATTATGTACCTATGAGCTGTCTGTATAAACATATACGGGATATATTAACATTGGAATCTGTCGGAATCAAATTTCAATATCTCAATTTACTCTGAGAAAGAATACGACATACGAATTGAATGATCATTCTAGATGTTTTTCGATGTTTATATTATAGGCATGTCTATTTTATTATTTATTTGGACATTATTTCTAGAACGTTGATTGCTGTTCTCTCCAGAATGCATCAATTTATATACTGGTGCTTAATACCATGGACCTACTCTTGTCAGGGTTATGGTGGCAATGTTTTCACTGAATGACGTTGTGGCAAGACCCAAACCCATCGATCCAGAAAGTAGTCCCCCTATTCCTTCCACCATGATTCCTCTGTTGACTGCATGTGTTGGAGGAGAAGCCACTTCACAGGTTTTTGCAGCCGCAAAGTAGTCCCCTAGAGACTCCATCATTGAGGCATAAAATGATGCTATATATCCTACAAACAGTCCTAAGTTGAAGGATGGCATTCCAAACTGACCTAAAATGCAAAATAAGAAGTAATATATTTGACTGTTTGATAAATAAATACACAACAGATGTCAGTTCTAATGCAAGCGTGGAGAATATATTATATCCCAATGGACATAAGTGACCGGACATTTAACAATAACCGCGGAAATGCCACAAGGATTGTGTGAGCACTATGTATTTTAATAAGGTTGGCGGTAGTAGTAAGCAACATTTCACCAAACTGAAGGTAATGTTATGACACTGGAAATGCGTGACTTCCATACATGGCGGTGACGGCAATGTTCATTACCTGGATATGGCAGATAAACCCATGGTGTGACATGCACCAGTTTTACTTTGGCATCTGTCCGTGCACCGAACCTCAGCTTTGTTCGATCAGGCGGAAACACGTTGACGTGAGTTAAGATTGCAGATACAGCCCACACAACCAGGATACTCGGGATAACCTGAAATAAGTTATTTCTTCCTCTGTTGTTAAAAACGGAGTGAACTGAATCTGGCTGGCTAGTCAGTATGTGTACTAAGACCATGGCCCAGGCCCATGTTAATACTTGATGCCCATTCAAGCAGCCCAAGCTATTTCAGGCACATGGTTCCTTGATTTTGAAATTCAGAGACAGAAAATATGTACACATAATTGAAGAAAGTATAATATTTCCAAGACTGGATTCTTACTAAACTTGACTATCCAATTACTATGGTGGTTGTCCATACAATGATATTTTAGCTTACGTCAACTTTAGGTCAGAACACACAACAAATATAACTTTCAGCGAGGATTAATGTTTAGTTTCAATTTTACCAACATTATTATTATATAGAGATTAAAATAAATGAATGCAGCAAATAAGGTTTGTCTGGTTCTGGTACAGTCAGAGTGGTTAGGCTCATGATCGGCTCCTGCGCCCTCTACACGCAGCCCAGACAGCGAATGGAATTTCTCCCAGGAAGCGCTGCCTAGTCAAACCCACCCAGAACGTTTCCGAGAATGTGAAGACTCCCCAATACTGCAACCTTCTGCATTACCCAAATTGTCAGAAGGGCTGTATTCCTGGTAGCAAACCCGGGTACTTTCCGAATGTCAGTCAACAGATTGGGAGGTACCAAACCTAAGGCGCCGAGTACAATGGTCGGACAACTTGGTACTTGGGATGCAAGCGTGACATTTCGACAGCGAGGTCCGCATATCTGCCGTCTTGTCAATTACATTAGTGTCAAAAGGAAAGAAAATTCAATGATATAAATGATAAATGGTATTTCATTGGATTTATCAAAAAGGACAAGATCACGTTTGTCGGCCTGGATACGGGCCTATTCCAAAGAATTTTGTATTTATCATTTTCCATGACGCCCTCTACATATTCCGGGTCGTACGTACCATGGATGGACCTCTGTGTCAAAACCACATGCATTGCGTAGACGATAATAAAATGATCGAACCACTCCACAATGTCGTTTAAGAAACAGTGTTTGTGCCAAAGCTAGGCATCTGCTGACAATGGGTTGGACAGTCTCCTAAAATTCATTGCATCATCTACATTTCATATTTACATTTTGATGCTAAATCACACACTGACGGTTTCGAGTGGGAAGTGATTGGTCCTGAGCAGCAAACAGAAAGCCTTCTGTTTCACTTTTCAGGCCAGCCGACTTCATCCAAACGAAGGACTCTGCAGTGGTGCTGAACTCCTCAACACACTGCACATTAACTCGATGTAGTGGTCGTTCAGATAGCTTCTCCTGGGCCGATTTTATATGGTCACTTCGCTTGGTTGACACTCATTTCTGTACCGTCCAGCAGAACAGCACCATCAACAAAATCAACACAGGCATTGAGATTATGTCCCACACCCTAGTTTTGTGTGGTACTTTAGGCAATGTTGAATTTCGATAAATGTCAGTGTTTGTTAAGATTTTCAAAAAGAATAAATTGTTTACTTTATGTTTTCGGGCTTTTGAATGGGTGAAGGGTAAAGACACTTTCGGACTGACGTATGCTTGCAAAGTATTGTGTACTGCCACTTTAATTGCTTTGAAGTAATTTGTGTTGATTTGTAAACTTTGTAAAACATGTTTGATTGTTTGTTGGTTTCACACTAAGTTCTTTTGGGTACAGATTTCTGGGTTAACATATTGTTTCAATTTGGGAATCGACACTTACCAATATTAATGTGACAAAACCATTGTTCGATTCCGACGACGGCATAAGCATGAGTTTATGAATCACTATCAAATACTGATGATACAGGGTGAGAAAGTGAGCCATTATGCCATAAAGAAAGTATGATTTATCATTAAATACAGGTTTGATTCTTCGGTGCATATTTATAATATGAAATATATGTATGTGTGACCCCAACTGACAGGATGGACCAGGATAAAAGCATTGACGGGATCAGGTGGTTAGGCTCATCTAGCTGAGAGTGGTTTAAAGGACATACAAACAATACATATTAACTTGAACGATCATGAGTCGGCGTTGGCATTCGCTCGAAACTGAATAAGACCCTGTTTCAGTTTCAGTCAATGCATATAACTTTTCTTGCTAAGGTCTTGAGAAATATTACCCATACAGTCAGTACTTAATTACACGTACCGGAAAAAGCTGAAATACACGCACTCCGCGATTCCGTCGCCTTCCCTTCATCTGAACTGTTTCCTTGCGGTTGATCTTTGTTGGAAGTGAGACTCTCACGTGGCCGAGATACAGCGCAAACACCACCAGCAGCACAACGCCCCTGGTGTAAGATAACATTCGTGTTAGGTTAAGGGACCGACCCTTTGTTATTCTGGCAGGGGCTTGGGATTTTTGTGAAAAAATAAGTTTACCTAAAAGGACTTTTCGCTTGATATGCTATATATACTGAAGATAATGTGTTGTTTAAAAGAACAAATGTTCAGCTCCTCTGTCCAGAGAAAATTATTGTATATCTTGAAGCAGTCCCCGAAAAACTAGTTGTGTGCAACATAAATTCCAGACGAATATTAAAAGCAAGGCCCCAAAGAAAGTGCTACTTGCCATGTTGATATTGGACTGATTCAAAGATAATATCAGTGTTAATAACCGAATTACGGAAATGTGACACAGTATATACTTACAACAGGGATAATTCCCATGATGGCCTTAAGTATGTTATTGGTAGTTTGCACATTGCAATGCCCAGTAGAGCAACAGTTGGAGTCACTGTGACCGGGCCCACAAACCTAAGCAGATGACCTACAAGTCCAGCTCCACCAACAATCATCTCAAACAGGGAGGCAGCCATTAAACTTACAGATATCTGAAATAATGGCTCATTTTGTCTTTGTGTTTTGCATAACGTTGCTATCAGCAATATTCAAAGTATATCACATATATCAAACAAACGAATCTGAGCACATCCGGGCTCAGTTAGAAGCAATGAAGCTCACTCTTACGACAAGCAGAGGTCCTGAACATATTGCCGATGTGACGTTCAACGTTAACTCACTCACGATAAGAACTACATACCCACCTATCACATGCATATATCAGACAACCACATCTACGGATTACGACAGAGGAAAAAACATTTGCAAGAAGATTCATCTTACTTCTCTGATTTTTTGTTCTGGGGTCAAGCAGGTCAATACTTCGATTGTTAAAGAAGTGTGGTTATAACCACTCGTGTTGTGTCCGTCTGTGAGATTTTTATCTGTGAACAAATAAGTCCAGTGATAGAGTGTGTTCGAAGAAAGGTAAATTGTGATGTGGGAAAAACGTTTTTAGGTCTCTTTATGCTATAGATGGGGTGAAATGGGGTTTAACGTCTAAAAACTGCAATTATTACATTAACAGTTATAAGTATGAAAATGGATCCAAATGTTTGATGCCATTTTTATCTGTAATAAATATGAATTAAAGTTTGTGAATTGTATTTTTGTGTTCCTGAGATACTGTAAATAATAATGAGAGGTAAAAATGTTATTTTGCACCCCTGAGGTCCCTTATCTCCTGGTTGGTCATATATTTTGTTCTGAAATTCGTGCTAAATTATCCCTTGATTCTTGTGAAATAATGTGATATTTCCTATGTTTAGATACAAAACAATTAATATGGCATAGTTCCATGTAGATGGTCAATAAAGTACGCATCTGTCTTATAATTGTCTCTAAGTGTGAGTTTGTCAATGTGTACCTGGTGCTGAATCGGCGCAGTCCCATTCCCCGCCAGAAGCTGAGAATAATACAGATAGAAATATTCCTGCTGGACCTTGTATTATCGGCAATCTGAAAATAAGAGAGAAGCATACCTGCAATGGGGAACCACATTGGAAAAGATTGTGAACACGGAGATGTTATCGTTTTCAAATAATATATATAACATCATGATCAAATAACGTCCATATATATGATGTCACAGTTGATGATGGTTCCGGGACCTGCCTCACGAAAGCGGTTCCGCACTGTCAGGACGGATATCAGTCAGTCAGCTGAAGAACCATATTGGTGATCTGCTACCAAAGACTTGAGAGGGTACTCTGTGTTTCTACTGCTTTCAATCCGATGACGTTGTACGGTTGTGCTTGAGGAAGCCGTGGCATGTCTTCGTCTTAATGACATTTTCGTCCACTTGATTGTCTGGTTTGTTTACATGCCACCGTAGCATTGCAGGAATACTGCTGTGTGACGTCAGGCAAAACTTACCTATTCTTTTATGCAAATTGTGTGGTTATTCTCCTGCAGTTGCAATATATATTCGCAAATGAACAGTTTTTAACAGACGTTTTGGCTGAACTGAACTTTCGTTTTACACCGAGGCATAAGGGGTACAAAATCTTTCAGCAACATATACATGTATATATAAATATGGTTCAAATACAATACATCTTTGCCGAGCAGCCAGATACACTAAGGTAACACTATG